TATATATATATATATATATATATATATATATATATAAAAGGAGGAGGTAATTCATTTTAAATAAGAGGAGACTAGTTGCACAAAACAGATCAAAGTTTCAGAGAAAATAACAATAATAATAATAAAAATCTCGGGTGTTACATATTTGTTAAATATAATCAAATCAAGTGTAAATGATGTTTCTCAAATTTTGAAATGTGGTGTTAAGTTGATAATTCCATAATGATAGAGACAGATAGATTCACAAATAGTATGAGTTTAATAAGAAGATGCAGAATTGAAATTTAAAAAACTTTTGAGTTAAATTTGACATTTAGCGACCATTTTTTTTCAAAAAATTCCTCAAATATTTGATTGTAATGTCGAGTTGATTTTCTCACATTGATAGAGAGAAGAAAATTTTGACAAAACATTACAAGTATATAAGGGGAGTTGATGAATCATAAAGTTTGATAAAAAAAATATATTTTAGTATTGGTTAGAGATGGTGTAAGTGAACAAAAAAAATTCACATGTAGTTTTTTCATAAAGTGAACACAAAAATATGTAAAGTAATATCTTAAATCATAGATTTTGATAAAAAGCATAATGCAAATTTTTTATATCAATTCTTACAAATTTATAAACTTTTGGTGGTTGTCATTTGATTATCATCCACCCTCAAACACACACTCTCACACACACATGTATATATAATTGCTAAAAAAAATTCATTTTTTATTAAATAGCAAATTTTGACTTTTGCGGTCAAGAACAATATGAAAAACCTAGTTAATTTAGGATGATGAAATTAAAGTTCGATTGTTGATGATTTTCAATAATTAATCTTTGTGTTAAAATATTGATAGTAAACTTATTTATTACAACGATGGAAAAAGAAACCTAGTTAATGGATTTATTTTAATTGACGTTAGTATTTCTCATAACCAAGATAAATCAAATATCATAGAAATTAAAGCCATAATCTATACTATATTATAAAGCATTTGACAAAAACTTTTAAAAACCATTTTTTATGCATGAAGTACTGTTTATTGATGCATATTATTTAAAATTCAAGATTACTAGTAAATTGTACGTAAGTACAACTTATTAAAGCTTCATGTTTGTATTCGTGTAACTAACTTCAGATAAATATAATCAAATAGAAAATAAATATTTCATTTTAAAATGTAAAAAACTAAAATATAATTAGGATAATTATTGAGTTTTAACAAAATACTTAATTATTATTTTTATAAAAAGTTATATTATTAAAAGAAAAATAAAAAATGAATTAAATAATACACAAAAGAACGAGAAATTTTAAATAGTTAGTCTGATAATAATATTAATATTTTTTATTTTATTTTTTATGATATCTTCATATCTATATTTTATTTAAAAATAAAAACATTATTGTTTTATCAAAACCACATGAAATTGTATTATAACATCGACCAAGACAAAAAAAAAGTGAAACACTAAAATCGAGATGTATCTTACTGCATTGTACGAGTAATCTTCTAATAAACATATATAAAGACATAAAAGAAAATGACACGAGTCGACCAAATCCATAATTTATAATCTTTTTATTACAAATATTTTGATTACGTTGTTTAATCTTTTAAAATAAAAAAACAGCGAGTTGCGAGTTTCTTCGCGTACGTGGTGTCCATACGTTATTAGTTTAAAAGCAATAATGCTATTGGAAGTGGTAGGTACGCGATTTTTCATTCGTAAATATTAACTAACAAATAAAAGTAAGTATGTCTCATCGACAACCATCATTCACTCCAATTTTTCATATAATATTTCCGAGTAACAGTGAGATATCTAGAGGGGTAAAGTATGCACAGACGTAGGTCCACCATCCTTTGTTTAGGTTATAAATGGCCATGCCTTTCGTTACATATTTGTAACCACTCATCCCCTACCAACTCACCCCACACACACACACACACACACACACAAACACCTCCTTTCCATCAATGGTTGCTCAACAAAATCTTGTGCATGTGTTTCTAGTTACCTTTCAAGGACAAGGCCATGTCAATCCACTTCTCAGACTCGGCAAGCTCCTTGCTTCAAAGGGTAACCTTCTCGTGACCTTCGCTGCCACCAAATCCATCGGGAAAAAAATGAAGAAGGCAGATGCTGCTGTCTCTGGTGATCCTACTCCCGTCGGCAACTGTGGTGGGATGATCCGGTTTGAGTTTTTCGACGATGGATGCTCTGAAGACAATGACGACGAACGCCATGACCGTGCCACGTACTTGCCTAAGCTTGAGGCTTATGGAAAGAAAGCAATAGCCGCAATTCTCGACCGCCATGCGCAAGATGGCCGCCCGGTTTCATGCCTTGTCAACAGCCCTTTCATCCCTTGGGTTTCTGATCTGGGAGAAGAGCTTAACATCCCTTCAGCAATGCTTTGGGTGCAGTCTTGTGCTTGCTTTTCTACGTATTATCATTATACGAATTCATTGATTCCTTTTCCAAGCGAAAAGCAACCGGACATCGACGTTCATTTGCCCAACATGCCGATGTTGAAGTCCGATGAAATTCCCAGCTTTTTACATCCTGCAACGCCTTATCCGTCCTTGAAAGCAGCCATTTTAAAACAATTCAGAAACTTACCAAAAACGTTTTGTGTATTAATGGAAACATTTGAAGAACTTGAAGATGATTTGATTAAATACATGTCTGAAATATGCCCTATTCGACCTGTGGGTCCTTTGTTTAACTACCCATTACTCGAAACCACCTCCAATATCTCCGGCGACCTGATAAAAGTAGAAAAATGTCTGGAATGGCTCGACTCACAGCAACCTTCTTCAGTGGTTTACATATCATTCGGAAGCGTTGTGAGCTTAAGCCAAGAACAAGTGACTGAGATGGCTTATGGGGTTTTGAATTCTGGTGTATCGTTTTTGTGGGTCGTGAGGACGACTGCAACTTCTACTGGGGTACCTGGACGGTTGCCAAAGGGCTTCATGGAGGATGTGGGTGAGAGAGGGATGGTTGTCCACTGGAGCCCACAAGCCGAAGTGCTTTCCCACCCTGCGGTTTCTTGTTTTGTGACCCATTGCGGGTGGAACTCTACGATGGAGGCGTTGTCGAGCGGTGTTCCGGTGGTGGCGTTCCCACAGTGGGGGGACCAAGTGACGGATGCCAAATACTTGGTTGATGAATGGAAGGTCGGGATTAGGATGTGTAGGGGTGAGGCTGAGGAAAGGGTGATCGGGAGGGAGGAGATAGCCAAGTGCTTAAAGGAGGCCACTAGTGGTGCAAAAGCGACGGAGATGAAAAAGAATGCATTGAAGTGGAAGAAGTCAGCGGCGGAGGCGGTGGCGGAAGGTGGAACTTCTCACCGGAGTATTCAAGAGTTTGTGCATGATGTCAAGAAGATAGGTGTTCAGTGAAACATCAAAGGTTCAAGTAATCATTGCATCATTGGCCATAATTACCCCTCGTTTGAATATGAGTTTGTGGTTAATCAATTTCATATTTATTTATAATATAAATAAGAGGGTGATGTTATTTAATTTAGGGCAAAAATAGTTTGAATATGAGTTTGTAATTTCAGTTTTTCTTTTTTATATAGTAATATACTTTCAAACTATTTTTTATTAAGATATTGTATTTTAAAAAGTTTACCCATTATAGCATTGGGTAACCTTTTGAACTAAATTTATCCATTATACTAGATTTACATGTCATCTCATTATCCACGTAGGTTGTCCACATGTACTATAGTGATGTGACTTTCTTACTACATCATTGTACTTTCAAAATTATTTTATCATAGCATCTACTAGTTCTTATTAAACACTGTATTTTTATTTTTAATTTTTAGATATTTTACATGTTATTTAATAAATGTATTAAATAAATTTAAAAAATTCTAAATTATTCATTAATATACCAATATCAATAAAACTAGTAGAACACAACTTATCTCGCTAATATTTTTAAAAAAATATGTGTTTTTTGGAAAAAGGAAAATAAGAATTGTTCATTTTTTACCAAAAAATATTATCTTTTAAAGAATATATTATATTTGTTCAAAAGCTTTTTATTTAACTTATAAATATATAAGTTAATTAGATTTTTTTCAATTATTTATTAATATAACAATATTAAAAAAATTATAGATAACAATTTATTTCGTTAATATTTTAGAGAGAACTTTAAAAGATATGTATTTATTTGAACAACATAAAATAGAAAAAGTTACTTTTTTTACAAACAAAATATATCTCAAAAATAATGTTTTATATTTATTTAATAAATATTTTACTCTAAGAATATTTAATTTGAATGCAACTTAATAAGAAAAAGTAAAAAAAATAAATGTTTTTTAGATCATAACAATGAAAAATGAAAATCACTAATAATAATTTAAAATATGTTTTTATTTTAATTTTAGTTAAGTCATCAAAATGATGTGYCATMCACATCACCTCATTAAAGCCACACAAGCAAAAAAGTCAAAGGGTTAACCGGTTTAAAAGGTAACAGGTTACCAATTGCTATTATGAGTAGATTTTTTAAAGTACAATGTCTTAATAAAAAATAATTTGAAAGTACATTGCTGTAATAAAAAAAACAAAAGTAGAATGCTATAATAAGAAATTTTATAAAAGTAGGTTGCTATTTCATGCATTTAACCCTTTAATTTATTACACCCCTTTAAATAAATTTTTTTGTTAACGTAGATATGTAACTCGTTATGCGAACCGACTAATCGCAAGATGCCAACCTCTTTTACAAATAATCCAAAATTATTGTATTTAAATCTTTATGACCATAAAAGGATTTTTATTATAATTTTGTGTCAAAAGTGGATGTCGGCCACTTTGGCTTCTTAAAAGCAAGCACTTCTTCGTTTTTAGCATGTTTAACGTGAGTCATTTAATATATAATATTATTTTTTAAAAATTATATTATTATAAAAGATATATTCCAATTATTTTAAATTGAATGACTATTTTGTAAGCATAATTAAGTATCTTAACAATGACACACAATCTGTATATATGGACGATGAATATCAATTATATAAAACTAGAGACGAAGTGCCATCTGTATGTATTTGATGTGTAATGTGTGTGTGTATATATATATATATATATATATATATATATAATAATCATAAATATAATATTTAAGGTTTTAATTGAATATTAAAAAAATATCAAACTCATCAATACACCTTTGATTAATGGAGTTTAAGTTGATAACGTAAGATAAGAGACTTAATTAATCCGTAACAAAAATAAAATTACGATAACCATATTTATAATTATTTTGTTCGGGGAACTCAATCCATGATTATCATATAACTAGATGTTATCTGTAATTTACTCTATGTTATTTTTTGTTAGAAAATGAGATTTGCAAAACGCTGTATCATCTTATATTATTTTCGAAACAAATCTTATGTTTAATTGCGTACATAATGGCGTATACAAAATTATATATTGTTTTAAAAATATATGGTTTCATTTACAACTTTTTGTATCTTGAATCTATTTTTTGTTCCTGTAGTTCAAAATTACAGTTTGACCATCGTGTTTTGTAAAAACGAATAGATTTAGTCCCTGCTTCTAAGGTTTGTTAAATCCCCCCCCCCCCCCCCCCCCCCNGGTTAAGTTAGAGGTATTTTTATTCCTTTTTGGACTTTTGTAGACATTTTTATTTAATAAAGAAATATGTAAATTACATATTATTGGGACTAAAAATGTAATTTTCTCTATAATATACACACACATATAACACATACAAAACCCTAGGAACCAAATTTTTGGCCGCCTCTTCTTCTCTGGCAGTGACAGCCCCCTTCCAACAATCACCACTGAGAACCATCCATTGAAACTCCTCCATCAGGGCCATTCCACGGCTCCCCTCCCCTTCTGTATCCCTTCCCCTGACTCACACCAAACTCACTTCAACAATTACCCTTCTTCTCCGATCATCTTCCCCGTTGGCCCAAATGTACATGGAAGGAATTAAATTGTGGGAGGGGTGCGATCAAAAAGACATGTTTGTAAAATCTAACAAATGGATCCAATAGTGATAAGAACTCATGATGTTGAGATCTAACAGAAGGATCTTAAAGGTGATGGTGGTGATGAAACCCCTGCTACCACCAAAATCTATCGTTGTAAATCGAAATCAAAAGATGAAATCAAAATTGGAAGGGGTGGGTGGAGGCTCATTTTGTTCTGGGTTTGCATCTTCGATCATCTCTTTGTTTTCCCATTGTTTCTTGAGACCTACCTTTTTGGACCTGTTTTAGGTCTCGATACGGGACATGAGACGATGACCAGAGTATAGTCAGAGACGATGACCAGAGTATAGTCAGAGACGATGAACAAAGTATAGCGAGAGTCGAGGACCCTACAATTTAGATGTGAATGTTAACAAATGAAGCAAACAACGATGAGCTCTCCCCCCCCCCCCCCAGGGCTTCTCTGATGTACCTTCCCTCACGGGACCCCATTTTAACGACATCGACTATCAAACACAAATCAGAAGGTTGAATAAAAAACTCAATTTGGAGTTCCTCATATGTTTGATCTGTATATCATGTTATTTCCTACAAATTATCGTATCTATTGCTTCGAGTTCAAGGGATATATTGGGAGTAGTGGTTGGCTTTAGTTTTTTAGGGTTTTGAGGTTTTATGTTTGGTTGTGATTTTGGTTTAGATTTACCCTTAGATTTTGAATTTGAGAATTTAAATTCATATTTTGAATTTGAGTTTTGATTCGGGACATGAGACGATGACCAACGTATAGGCAGAGTAGATGATCAAGATTTTCACCAAGAACTATGATATGAGATGTGGAACAAATCCATATGGGGGGTTAACCAGAGATGATTCCAAAATTCTAAGCAATATATATTTTTTATTTTTTAAAGTAAAATGATAATAAAATAAAAAAGACTAAAAATACCTCTGAACTTAACGGATTCTTTTAGCGACTGTTAGATCTGATCATTTTTGCAAACCATGATGACCAAATTATAAGGACGAAAAGTGTTGCTATCGAGAAACCGCAAGAACCAAAAATGTAATTTACTCTTATATTTTTGTCCATTTGATTGCTACTCACTATCAAGTCTAGTCGCTATTTAGAACTAACTACATTTTTGGTCACTATGATTGCCATTTTGTTTTAATTTTAGTCCCTCTAATAGCTTCTGTTAAAATGCCCGTTAAAATGAGGGGGCATTTTTGTCAGTTTCAAAATTTGTTTTTCTTTAGAAAATATTTAATATGTTATAATATAGAGTAAATTACATATTTGGTCCCTAAGGTATGTCGATTTTTTTATAGATTTGATCCTTTATCTTCATTTATTGCACAATAACCCTCCATATATGCAGTTTTTTACGGATTTGGTTCCTGAGGCAAATGAACCTCTACTTTCTCCAATAAGTACAAGGACAAAATAGTCACTTTATAGGTTTTTTGTACTTTAACATATTTAGACATGTATTTCTTTTTATTAAACATAAAATCTTAAAATCATAATTCTAAATAAGGAAACATCTTTGGGCACTAAAAACTTAGAACCCTCCTTTTTTCCTTTGAGATCCCTTTTCCTCACCTCTTCCCTGTGATCTTATCATTGGAGTCATACCCACCTCCCATCTTCGACGAGCACATTCACGTTCTCCATCGACTCAACTCTCTCTTCTTTTTTTCTCACTGTCCTGTCGTTGCAGATGGGTGCAGGTTTCGAGATGGCTTCTCTGACGGACTCATGCAGGTTATGAGAAAAAGGTTTGATCTTCAACCATTTACCTATCCCATATCCCGTAGATCTATGACACCTTTGTGCTTTGTAATTTACACTAAAAAAACAAGAAAAAAAAAACGTAGTTATATATTTTTGAGTAAACTACATTTTTGGTCCTAGTAGTATACATGAATTTCTGAAAGTGGTCTATAGACTTTAATAACTACAATTATCGTTCTTATTGTTCACATTTTGCTTTGAATATCGTCCTTCCACTTAACTCTATAAAAAAATTTCATTAAGCTAGGGGTTTCGTCTTTTTTACTTTCAAAGGATAAGCTATAAAATTTTGTTTAAGTTGCAGGGACCAAATTGTAATTTACTCTAATTTATATTGATATTATATTAATATCTATACTATATTATAAAGTATTTGACAAAAACTCTTAAAAATCATTTTTATACGTAAAATACTGTTTATTAATRCATATTACTTAAAACTCAAGATTACAAGTA